GCTGACGGCGGAAGCGAGGCCCCAGAGCTGGGGCGGCTGAGGAGCTGCGGTCACCAGCGGGGCCGGGGGAAGCTGGGCCCCTCCGTAAGGAGGAGCCGGCGGGGACCGAGGCAGACGCACGGGGGACAGAGGACTGACCACCAGCCTCTCTCTCTGTTCTCCCTCCCCGCTCCCACATTCCAAACCTCAGCCGGCTCAGTCCTGGGCCCCAGTCAGACCCCAGCATGGGGACTAACACACAGGTTTATCCTCCCCTTCCCCCCCTCCACACCACCTCCCCTCACCACCCGCCCGCTTGTGTGGGAGAGCGGCCTGGTGAACAGACAGCCGTTTCCTCTTCCCTGTCCTGCTGCCTCGGGCTGCGGCTTCTCGGGGCTTCCCCGGCAGAGGCAGGCCTTGGGCTGCCGCCTTTGCTCAGTGTGAGCTTGACCCCGCCTGCCCCTGCCCCTACCCCTGCCCCTGCCCCGGGAACTGCCTGCGATTGTGAGGAGAACAGAGTTCTCCACCCCAAAATACGCCTTGGATTAGGGTAAGCCTGTGGTTTTTAAGAAACAAAAGCCTCGGGGGAAACCATAATCCTTACACTGCCGGGAACTGCCGGAAAGAATGTGAGCAGGACCGCGTTCCAGTGCGAACTCCCAGTGACGGCCAGGCCCTGGGACTCTGTCCCCTTGTGAACCAGCTACCAACACTTCCTCCTCCCGGGTCCAACATGAGCCGGGCCTTCCGCGGCCTTCCCGTTTTCGGAGGTTTCATGCCTGTGTGAATTCCCCATGCCCCCACAATAAAACCAGCCCTTCTCCTGTTCGTGGGCAGTCTGTCATCTGCCATCTTCAGCCAGCCGGGAGAACTTAGCTGATTTTTCTTCCTGACAGGGATTCGTTTGTCACTCTGCTTTGCTGGCCTCTGGGTTTGCTCCTGGCTCTTGAAAGAAAATGTATTGCCCTAGCCGGGTGGCTCAGTGACTAGAGTGCCAGCCTGCAGACCAAAGGGTCCCGGGTTCAATTCCCGTCAAGGGCATATATACCTTAGTTGCAGGCTCCTCCCTGGTCCGGGCCCTGGTGGGGGCTCCTGCAGGAGGCAACCAATCAATGTGTTTTTCTCACATCGATGTTTCTCTCTGTCTCTCCCTCTCTCTTCCACTCTCTCTAAAAATCAATGGAAATATATCCTCAGGTGAGAATAAATAACAACAACAACCAATGTGTTAAAAATCTAGGAGAGAGCCAAGGCCAGTTTGGCTCAGTGGATAGAGCGCCCGCCTGCAAACTGAAAGGTCCCGGGTTCGATTCCGGTCAAGGGCATGTACCTTGGTTGTGGGCACAACCCCAGTGGGGGGTGTGCAAGAGGCAGCTAATGGATGTTTCTCTCTCAGTGATGTTTCTAACTCTGTATCCCTCTCTCTTCCTCTCTGTAAAAAATCAATAAAAATATTTTTTTAAAAACATCTAGGAGAGAATGCTTGGAAAAACGTGGAGTGTGTACCTGAACTTTTCCACACTTCTCAAATTTGTGTGACTGTGTGTTTCTTTTGTTATGATAAGCAGCTTTGCTAAAATAACCTGGAACGTAAAGTTTTCATTTCAACGTTACTTTTGCAGAAAAACATGGGTTCTCCCAGGATCCCTGTCCCCCGGGAGGAAGCCCTCCTCCTGTTGTCGCTCAGCACGCTCTCTCCACCTCGCTGACTCACACGATGCTCAGAAATGCCCTTTCTTTGCTGACTTTGCGTGTGTTTTTGCTGGGCCCGGAAGGGTTCAAAGTCCGTCTCAGAGTACAAAGGTTATGCAACCTGCGTCCGTGCAAGCCCAGCAAGAATTCCCCCGCACTCGGCTTCCCTGCTCGCCAGGCTGGAAAACACCGTTCCGCTGCCGGGGGAGCCATTTCTGACTTATTTAAAACAACGGCAGGAACGCATGCAGACATTTACTCTTTATTCTAAAACACATGTGTCAAACACAAGGCCCACGGGCCAAATCCGTCCCGCCAGGCCTTGCAATGTGGCCCGCACCGTGCTGTCATCACTGCACTCTGCTACGTTTCCATCACAATGACAGTTTATGACTGTTCAGTAAACCATTCGGCCCGCAATTTAGGCTGGATTTTAGATTTTGGCCCCTTCTCTGATTGAGTTCGACACCCCTATTCTAAAAGCCTCAGCTCATTGGCTCTTCCTTCGTCCCTTTCCCACTTGTTCAAACGTAGTTGCATTCAGCACACACTCCACCACCTCAGTCACACACACACACACACACACACACACACACACACACACATCCCGGCAGTCAGGGATATAAATCTGACCCCAAAGTGCTCCTGACTTTGTTAAGTGTGTGTGGCTGGATTTATTAGCTCCCATCGCGAGAAGCCCCGACGGCGAATCCAGCTGCGGGATTGGCCGAGCCCAGGGCCTGACGTGATGTCATCTGAGTTATATGCCTCTCGCATCTCCCCGCTTAGTTTCACTTCTACGGAGGGGAGACTGACAGCCTCTGGCCCAGTTCTCGGGGTTTAGCAGCCCTGCCTGGGGGCGGTGGGGAGGAGGGGTGCTGAGGGCTGCTCCTTCCCAGAGTCTACACATCAATTCGGGGCAGGACTCCGGTTGGGATGGGTTACTAACCACCAGAAGGTGCAGTCACATGATGGATAATCTGACCAGGATCAAATGAAGTGAGAGAGGGGAGCTCCCTCCCCCCCAAAAAAACGGGGTGCTGAAAAAAGCAAGCAAACAAATAAAAATCAACATATACACACACACACACGACAGAATTTTTGAAAAATGATGTCCCCAGGTTCCCACCTGTCTGTGTATTTACCCCTACTCACTCCGTCCGTCCGCAGCTCCTCCCACCAAAGAGATTTAGCGGATTTCTGGATTTCTCCAGCAGCAGGGCTGGTGTGACTTGGGTTGAACAATAGGATGAAGCAGAGGTGAAGACCTGCCTCCTCCTATCTCTCCCTCCCTCCCTCTCCCCTGCCTTTTCCCGTGAACATGCCCCGGGTATCCTGGAGGAACGAGACGTGGATTAGAGCCAAATCAGTTGTCTTAGCGGAGGCCCCCGACGTGTCAGAATCCTGCCAAGACCAGTAAAGCCACCGGGAGCCCACAGCTGACCGTGGGCACATGACTCACCCCGAGGGCCCAGCTCAGAGGGCCACTCAAGCCGTAGATTCCGGAGCAAAATAAGTGCTGATTGGCGCATGCTCCTGAGGTCTCCCGGCTGTGCTGTAGGATTACGGAGATAACTGATACATTGTTCTCTCTCTACCTCTCTCTATGCTGATACATTGTTCTCTCTCTACCTCTCTCTATGCTGATACATTGTTCTCTCTCTACCTCTCTCATGCATCTGCTTTCTGCAGGCAAAGCTAGTCAACCCCTCCTCCCTCCTCTCTCTCATAGCCGTTAGCTGGACAGCCCACATTATACTGCTGCGATTTTCATATGGAATTGTAACCATTGATTGTAACTTCTGTCCACATGTCTATCACCAATTATCTCTTTGGGGGGGGGGGCGATTAAAAAAAAATCTTTTTGAGCCCAAGGCGTGGCATAGGGTATGATAAAGAACAGGAACTGGCTAAACCGTCACTGGAATTCTGAGGATGCGGAGTGTCCCCCCAAACTATCCGAAGCCATACCGAGTGCCCGAATGTCAGCCGGGTGGACACCTTGTGTGACGGGGCCACGGGGTTTTCTTTCTCTGGGAGTTGCACATAGTCATGTTTTCCCATGTTTTTCTATTGGGTTGTTTCTCTTCCTCCTTACTGTTTTGTGAAAGCTTCTCCGTTTCTGGAGACCTATTCTTTGCCAGATCCATGGGTTGGAAACATTTCCTCCCCGTCTGCGAACTTTCACTTCTCTTCTGGTGTCATGATGGGTGTGACTGTTTGAGTTTTAATGAGGCTTCTCGACCTTTCCTTCACATATTGTGCTTTTTGTGTTTACATTAAGCATGCCTCCTTACCTTGCGGTCAGAAGATACCTTCTGAAATGTCTGCTAAGCATCTGTGAGGTTTGTGTTACATATCTGGGTCCTTAATCAGCCTGGAGTTGAATGCATTCGCAGGGACACATTCCCACAGAGGGCATAAGGTAGAGATGCTTTAATGACGGTGTAACCTTCCGCCCCCGGAATGCCGCCAGCAGGTCTCTGGAAGTCGGTCCCCGCCTGGCGGCTCTGGGGCCCTCAGCTAGATGTTGCTCCCTGTACACACACACACACACACACACACACTCCGCCTCTATTTATGGGGTGAGTCACCCTCCTTTTCCCATTTCCTGCAGAATTGTTTGGGCTATTTCGGGCTCTTTATTTTTCCGTGTGCATTTTCCCAGCCACTTTGTCAAGTTACGCACACCAGACGATGTCAGAGTTTCGCTTGGAGCTGCACTGCACGTACAGGTTAATTGGGGAGGAAATTTACAACTTTGAAAATGAAACCTGACCGTCCATAAACATGATGCAATTCACCATTTATTAGATTCCATCTGCAGTCGTTACCGACCGGGTCCAAGCCACACCACCGCGGTCTCTCCTGGTCCCCGCGGCCCCGCCCTCCGGCCCTGTCTGCCCCGCACCCCCTCCCCCGCCGCCCGCTCCGCGCAGCAGCCGGAGGGAGGCTCCTGGGACAGAACGCAGGCCTCGGCGCCTGTGCCACCCAAAGCCGGTGGCGCCAGCTCCCCGTCTGGGGACACGCTGGTGTGAACGCATAAATGCGCGGGTGAAGGGACCTAGGGATGCCGACCCTCGGCCAGACCTGCGAATAAAGACATTATATTATGGTAGGAGGAGAGGGTCCGCCCTGGGGAAGCCGAAATAGCTCCAGCCTGAGCGGAGCCCCACCCGCCGCCAGGGTGAACCTGGAGGGGGTGAGGGAGAGGGGAGGCCCCAGGAGCCAGGAGCTAAAGCGGGGCGCCGACCCGGGGCGGGCGGAGGGGGCGGGGCGTCACCCTGGCTCGGGGGCGGGCCCGGGGCGGGCCCGGGGCGGGGCTCCCGCGCAGGCGCAGCGCCAGCCGGGCCCGGGTCCGGCGCGGAGCCGGGCGCACTGACTCCGCGGCGGCGGCGGGAGAAGCGCTTCCGGCGGTGACGGCGGCGCCACCTCGCAGGTCCTGCCGGCGGCGCGGGCGGCCCGCGGGCAGCGGTGAGCCTGGGGGGAGGCGGCGCGGCCGCGATGGGAGGGAGAGCGCGGAGCGCCGGCGGGGATGCCGCGGTGCAGCCCGCGCGCCCTGCCCGGGGACGCCGGGGCGCGGGGATCGGGGGCCCCTGACCGCTCCGGGGCTGCCGGGCCGGGCTCCTGGCACCCGGGGCGCCGCCAGCAGCGGCGGACAGCTCCCCGCGCCGGCTGCCTGGCCCCCTGGGCTCTTCCGATGGAGGGGCCCCCTGAGCGCGCGCCCCTGCCACGTGTCCTGCGGCGGGGAGGCGGCCAAGATGGCTGCGCCCCCCCCCGCCCCGCGCGCACGGTCCCTAGGCAACCAGGTGGCGCCGACCCCGCGCCCCCCGTGCCCCTCTGGCTCCTGGTTCTCAGCTGCTGCTGGCGCAGAGCGGGGCCCGTGGTCAGCGGTGACCCTGGCGCAGAGCGGGGCCCGGGGTCAGCGGTGACCCTGGCGCTCACAGTCCAGCCGGGAAGGGATGGGCCACAGTCTGGTCCCGGCCTTGCGTTTCTGCGCTCTCCGGATGTGCCCCATCTGTCACAGGCCTCGCTCCGACCCCTCAGGATGGCAATGACCCCGTTGTCTGCCGCGTGTGCAGGGGATCCAGGTCCCTTCCCTTCCCATTCCTCCGGCTCTGGGAGGTGCCCCGGCTGCCTTCCTAACGGGATGAGAAAGCTGGGCCCAGAGAGGGTGAGCCAGCTGCCCAAGGTCACGCAGCTGCCCGTGGGCAGAGCCAGCCGGTTCCCTGTGGCTTCCCCAAAGGGGCTTCCCGCCGCGCTGTCTGCGTCTCGCCCGCGTGCACAGCCCCTGGGCGCCGCACCGCGGTTTCCCTGAGCGGCACTGTCAGCGGGCGCACCGAACCCCTTTATTCTCTCCTGTGATCGGGCCTGGGCTGCCGTCCTCTGGCCCCGCGGAGCCCTGACCACAGGCTCCTCCAGGGCGTCTGTCCCGCACCGAGTGAGATGCCTGCACAGCCACTCCCCTCCGTGGGCCCAGGCCTCTTGTGGGTCATTTTCCCCGAAGACCCGCCTTCTCTCTGCGGCCTCGCCTACAGACTGGGACTTGGGGGCCCCTAGATCTCCTCTTCCTGTGTCCATCCCGCCCACGGGCTTCCTCCGAGTCCCGGCACCGGATGAGTGGAGGAGGGGTGCAGGCAAGTGAGGGGCTCTGCAGCCCGGACGGTGCTGGGCTCAGACGCCGGGTGTGAGATGGATAAGGCGGGAGGGGCGTGGAGGAGGACCACCAAGAAGTCCCTCCCACTCTCCACTCAGGCCTGCAGGCTTCTGTCTGGATTGCCCAAATGAGGTTGTTTGGAGAGAAGTCCCACCCAGCCCCCAGATGCAATCGCTCTAAGGATGAGCTTTAGGGCTGGGGTCAGGGGTGGGGTACACAGGCTCCGAGGCCCATAGAATTCCGGAAAGGGACGGCGCGGTCGGAGGGGAGCCTGCAGAGCAGGGGGCTGCAGTCCAGCAGCAGGAGGACATTTAGGGTGCTCTTCACGTTCTGAGCAGTGTCCTGTCCCAGGTGGACGGGAATAGGAAGGGGCGGACATCCGCGCTTCCTGGAGGAAAGTGGAGAGGACCACCCGGGCCGAGGGGCTCCGAGGCTGCGGCCGCGCTGCTCTCGGCGCCACGGGGTGCCCGGGCCCCATGTCCTCCCCTGGGGCAGCTCCTCCTCCGCAGCGGTCAGATGCACTTCGCTGGAGTCTAATCGTGGTAGAACCTTCACTTGAGGTTAAAGGGGAAGATCAGGAGCAGTAAGTCATTAAAGAAAAACACTGCCCGGCCAGCACGGCTCAGTGGCTGAGCGTCGACCTATGAACCAGGAGGTCATGGTTCAATTTCTGGTCAGGCACATGATTGGGTTGAGGTCTCAGTCCCCAAGGGGGGGGGGGGAGGGCATGCAGGAGGCAGCCGATGAACGATTCTCTGTCATCCTTGATGTTTCTGTCTCTCTCTCCTCCTTCCTCTCTGAAATCAATAATATATATATTGAATATATATATATATATATATATATATATATATATATATATATATATATAAAACTGTCTGTGTAAGTTAGCCTAGAAAGTGAAAAATTAAATTAAATTAGAATACGTAACAAATTGACATCTAACCATATGAAGTTCAGAGTTACTCAGTTTCTGGTTAACTACTATGAACTTGTGAAATCTTTTCCTAGACAGGTTACATACCTGTGAGTGGATTCTTCAAAGTGGGTAGAATAGTCAATGGAACACGTCCTACATGTTACAGACGGGTGGTATTTTACCATTCTCACAGGCTGACGCCACCATCTTGGTAGAAACCAATAGAGTTGCTTTTTAATGAGTAAGAGTGTCACCCATATGATATTGACGAAGAAACCCAAACCCCACATTGATCCCGAGGACTGGATGTGGACAGGACCGCGTTGTTACCGGGTGTTTTAATGCTAACAGGAGAGTGGGGTCCACGTGGTGGGTGGGAGTGGGGCGGGGAGGAGGGAGGGAGAGACAGAAAGACCCATTGTACCCCCATGCCCGCCTGGTTCCAGACAGGACCCACCTCCCACCGCCTCCCCTGGCCGGGAGGAGAGGGGGCAGCAGACGGCCCTGCCCTCTGCGGGAATGTGACTGCTCGCCCAGGTTCAGCCTTCCGGTCCACCATCTGTCCTCCTCGGCCGCGCCCATGGCAGGGAACGTGTGGGTAACCGGCTCAGAGCCAAGCGCCAGGCCTGCCGTTTGGCTCACGAGTGCGTGGCTGCCCGGCAAACACGTCGCCCTGGGCTCCGAGGGTCAGGGTGCGAGCAGAGTCAGACCGAACCGCCCTGCCGGGCTGGCCATCTGGGCCGGGCCTGGCTTCTCTGAGGAGCTGCCGTTCCTTAACGGGCTGGAGCAGGACTCAGCGACCTAATGCCGCGCGGCCAGCCCCGCGCCGGGCACTGAGGCACGCGTGGCGCCCCGTGGTGCCCACCGTGCCTGGACGTGTTCCTCCCCACCGGCCCTGTCGGAGCTCCGTCCGCCCGCAGCCGCTTCACCCCGTTCCCAGGTGAATGCCATCGCCGTCCGTTAATCTTTAGCCAGGGTTAAACGTCCTGGTTCCTCCGTCCGGGCCAAGCTCATTCCCTCCCCCTCCCTTCCTTGGAATTATGGGAGGCCATTTCTGGCAGGAGCGAGAAGTTTGAGAGGAAGTTTCTCTTGGGGAAGAGTCTTCCCCGGTCACCGTTCCTGCCCGCTCAGGCAGCCACGCTCCGTCCCACTCCTCCCCCCACCCCGCCCCCACCGCAGCCACAGCCTTTGTGGCAGTTCACGGGGGTCCAGGGCCGTAAGCCTCTTGTACACTCCAGCTTGCCCCTCCTCTGAGCACCTCTGATCCCCATCCTACAGATGGGAAAACTGAGCCTCGGCCGAGGGAAGTCTCTCGGGAGACATGGCTGGACGGGGAGGGGCTGCCGAGGTCGGAGTCCAGTTCCGACCCCCGTGTGGCCAGGGAAGGCACCCGGGCTGTGGCCACAGGGCGGGGCCTCCACAGGACCAGCAGCCCGCGGGAGTGTTTATTGCCCCCAGAGGGTACGGCGCTCCCCGGACCGGGCAGGGCATGTGGTCATTACTTGTCATTTTTATGTTCTTTCAAACAGCATTTCCCCAACATAACTGATCACTGCGTCTCCCAAGCCAGGTTCCCGGGCCCCCCAGCTCAGAGAGCCAGGGTTTCAGGGAGATCTCTTTGGGTCACAGCCACCTCTCCGGGGCGCAGGGGTCCGGGGGCCAGACAGCTGAGGGTCACGCCCGGGCACTGCCGCGCACCTGAGCAAGTTCGCGAGCCTCCGGGTAGCCGAGCGGTACGAGGGTCAGATGAGATGACACAAGGCAGGCTCTTAGAACACGCGGTTATGACGTGCTAGCGGGTGTTAGCAGGCACCGTCCTGGCTCTGCGGACAGAGGCTCAGGGACCTGGAGTGTGGGGCGACCCTGCCAAGCCGCAGGGGCGAGCGGGCAGAGTGGGTGGAGCTGGAATCTGAACCCAGGCCTGCCTGCTGCCCCCAGGGTTCACCCTCCCCTCATCGCCCACCTGCCCGCCCACGGCTTCCAAGTTCCAGGATGGACCGGGTGCCCCCCTCCCCCCCCTCCTTGGAGCCAGGAACTCAAGTTCATCCAGCCAGCTGGTTCAGGACGCTAAATCAGTCTGGGGTGACTAACGGGAGCTATCCGAGGGCTGAGCGAACCGGCTGGTCCAGGACAGTCAGACACAAACCGGTCAGGGGAGACGGACAGAGCTGCCCGGGGGCTGAGGTCCTGGAGGCGGTCCCGCCCTCGCACGGCTGTGAGGACTGTCCCTCCAGCCCGTGAGGAAGGGCCGGGCGCCCAGGAGGGTCTGTGCAGACGGGGTGTGACTTTAACTCACACTGAGACCGAAGGCGGGAGGCCGGCTCTCCCTGTCACTGGAACCCTGAGGGCAGGCGTGTCAAACTCAGGCGAGCACGGGCCGAATGAACAGGCAAACGTGGATATGGCCACAAGAACAAGAGCTTCCGTTTCCATAGAAACAGGTTTGTTTCCACAGAGACGTGCTGAAGACAAAGGGCTGAAGTAAACGAGTCATCCTTAACATAAAATAATAGAATATTTTAATAATATTTTTCTTGAACAGTCACCTACCAGGCACTGAATAACTGCATAAAATAATAAGCATAACGCAAATAAACCTGTTTTTCTTGTTCTCTGAAAGCGAAATATTCCGTTGCACACACCAAACAAGTCTGTACAGGACTAATGACGTGGCCATGGGCTGCTGGAATATTCGCTGCTGGTATTAGTGGAGAGAAATGGTGTGCCTGCACGTACGGGAAATGAATGCAACACAAGTCAGTCCTTATCGGACACTGTCGTTCGTTATTAATAATTATGTACAACAGGATATTGTACAAATTAAGTTATGAAATTTTCATTGAGATGTTGCTTACTGTTGTTATATTGGCTGGATCACAAAAGTATTCGTTGAAGGGCCCGAGTTTGACATGCTTGGTTGAGGGGCCCTGGTAGGTCCACTGCCCTGACTGCTCTCCTGTCCGGTCTCAGGGCAGAGGGGCCGGGCAGCGGAGACGGCGGGCGGAGTGGCCGGTGGGCGGGCAGTCAGGGCAGCACGTTGGTCCGTTAGGCCCCCGGCGCCCCAGTCGCAGCGCTAACGTCAGAGACCACGGCCCCAGGCCCCCAGCACAGACAGATAAGGGCGAGGGGGGCTGCAAAGGGACAGTTACCAAACTGGCGAGGAGCCTGGAGGAGCAAGCGCTCCTGGGAGCTGGCCCTCCACCTGCCCCACGAGGGCGCCGCTAACGGTCCGTTTGTAAAAACACGCCTGTGCTTGCGCGTCGGGGAGCCTCCTCCTCCAGCCCCTGCTCTCCGGTCGCTGCCCTGGAGCCTCAGCCTCCGCTCTCAGCACCCCTCCCTCCTCCGCGCCCCTCCCTCACCGCTGCAGGTGAGCTCTGGTCCTGTGCGGACCAGCAAGTGCCGCAGGGTGTGGACAGCAGCCCTCAGGTCCTCGCCCACAGGAGCCTGGCCAGCGGGCCCCTCTCTGGGGGGGCCTTCGCTTAGCTCACCCCTGCAGGGGGGGGCGGTGCGTCCTGCCTCTTCCACGCTGTTCTGCGTTTCCGAAGCTGATTGCTGTCCCTGCAGAGCCTCGGTGAATGTGGCGCCGAGAATGCCCGCCCCTCCTCCCGGACCGATGTCCCCCAGTTCTCCGCCAGGGCCTCTGACCTGCGCTGGGCGTGGTCACAAAGGGAGCGAGCTCATCCTGGAGCAGGTTTCCCGCTGCCTGCGCTGCCCATCCCGTGGTCCCCGGCCCTCGCCACGCCCGCTGTCCGCAGCCCGGTCACGCATGTGGACCCGGGACGTGCCTCTCCGAGAAGCACCCATTGCCAAACTGTGGGGAGGAAGCCACAGGCCCCACCGGGAGCCACTTGGGCTGAGCCCACGACACCACACCAGAACCTAACACCCGACCTAGTTGCCGCCTGCACCTTCCCCAGGGATGGAATCCTAGCTGGTCCGTCTGGAATTCTCTGGCCAGCGCCTCTGAGGTCACGAGGTCATCTGCCCCATCGGAGGCTCCCTCTCCGGCCCCGGGGAGATGAGTTCTCCCTTCCCGTCCCCTCCCCCGCGGCCCGGAAGGCCTCCGCTTTGCACAGCTCCCGGGCGGGGCCCACTCTGCCTGCAGAGGGTGCTGCCTGCTCCGGAGCCGGTCAGTGCGCCACCCAGGTCTCCGTCCGCCCCAGTCAGCTGTCCCTTCGCAACCGTCTGCACCCACTGGTGCTGCAGGTCACCTCTCATTTCAGCCTTGTGGGGGAGGGGGAAATGCAGGTCACCCGCAAGGCCTGGGTGCTGGGCTGCTTCCCAGTGACCAGCCTGCAGGGAAACCACAGCCCCCCCTCCACACACACACACACAGGACGGCTCAGTCCCTCCGACAACTCAGTCCCTCCGACGGGCAGAGAGTACAAAGGCAGCTCAGACGCAGCAGATTGATGATTTCTTCCCCAGAAGGAGGGTTTCCAGCATGAGGCCGTGCCACCACTGGTTTTCTCTCTAACTTTCTCTATTTCCAGTTTCTCTGGGTAGTTCTAGGTTCCCCAGAATAAGGCAGGTGAAGCCGTGTCTGAGGGGCTGGGCCTGGTCAGGCCTCACGGAACTCTCTCTTTGACCCGCCCAGTTGGCGACCATGTCCGGAGAACTCCCGCCAAACATCAACATCAGGGAGCCGCGGTGGGACCAGAGCACCTTTCTGGGACGAGCCAACCATTTCTTCACGGTGACGGACCCCCGGAACCTGCTGCTGACGGAGGAGCAGCTGGAGGGCGCCCGGAAGACCGTGCAGGACTACAGGTAGCGCCCGGTTCCGCTCTGGGCCGAACGTGCTCACAGCTCATCGTGTTAGCCTACTGCCCTTAACCTTCCCTTACAACTTCGTGTGTGTGTGTGTGTGTGTGTGTGTGTGGTGTGTGGTTTGTGTGTCTGTGTGTGTGTGTGTCTGTGCGGTTTGTGTGTGGTGTGTCTGTGTGTGTGGTGTGTCTGTGTGTGTGGTGTGTGTGGTGTGTCTGTGTGTGTGTGTCTGTGCGGTTTGTGTGTGGTGTGTATGTGTGTGTGGTGTGTCTGTGTGTGTGGTGTGTGTGGTGTGTATGTGTGTGTCTGTGTGGTTTGTGTGTGGTGTGTGTGTCGTGTGTGGTGTGTGTGTGGTGTGTGTGTGTGTCTGTGTGTGTGGTGTGTGTGGGTGTGTGTGTCGTGTGTGTGTGTATGTGTGTGTCTGCGGTTTGTGTGTGGTGTGTGTGTGTGGTGTGTGTGTGTGTGGTGTGTGTGTCGTGTGTATGTGTGTGGTGTGTGTGTGGTGTGTGTGTGGTGTGTGTGGTGTGTGTGTGGTGTGTGTGTGTGTCTGTGTGTGTTTGTGTGTGTGGTGTGTGTGTGGTGTGTGTGTGGTGTGTGTGTGCGCACTGGAATCCTTTTTATTAAAAGTAGAATAGGAATAGGAAGACGTGTTTTGTTCCTCATTGCCTGTGAAGTCCCCTTCTCACAGTGCCCGCCCTTCTCTCCAACACACCCAGGCCTGCACCTGCAGCCCCGGGCATCCTCTGCCTCAGTGGCGATGGCCTCGAACAGCAGGCGGATTGCCGAGAACTAGGTGGGGGGGGCCAGGCTGGGTGACTCTGAGCTCAAGTGCAGTGAAGTCTGTATAACTTTCCAGTGGGCCAGGCCTTCTAGGCAGAAACTTCATTTGTTCCCACGGGACTACAGAAAAATGGAAGCCCTCAGGACAGCGGCTAACACAGGGGATGGGGTTAGCCAGAGACTCTAAAGCTGGGGCCGGAATGCCTTGCCTGGCCCGGATAAGGCTCAGGCCCGAAAAATCATTTGTTCCAGCCCCGCCAAGGATGAGGGGCAAGGTAATGAAATGTTTGACCGAATACAGCAGGCTCGTTTTTAAGTTGATAATTATGTATGGCCCTCGGGTGATGTCATAAATATCCAGGCAGCCCTGGGCAGAGAAAAGGCTCCCGCCCCTAGATAAGGCGTGCATACCAGCTGCCTGAGCCAGACCGAGTGGGTGCTGACGATAAAAGACGTTGCAAGTTCTGACCTTTTACCTTCCGTTTATCTCAGCACATGCACTCATTTCTTTCACAATCATTCTTACACAATCTCGGATAGTCTTATGTATGAGGATATTTACTTCCTGGTCCTTTATGGATGGGAAGGATGAGAAGCAGTGACCTTGTCAGCCTAGGTGGCTGGTATAATACCCTATTCACTGCCCGATTAAAAGCATGGGCTAGTTCCTGAGGCGGACGTCACAGAACCACAAACGGAGTGGCGTGAAACAGTGGGAGCGCGTCCTCTCCCTGCTCTGAAACCAAGGAGAAGACGGGCCTGTGCCTCGGAGGTTCCAGGAAGAGTCCTTCCTTCTCCCTCGAGCTCTCGGCGGCTCTGAGTGCTCCCTGGCCGGTGGCCACGTCGGGAAACCTCCGCCTCAGTCAGCCGCGGCTGTCTGTGCCGCTGCATCTGGCTGTCCTGGACGGCCCTCCTCTTAGCAAGTGACACCTGCAAGCACCCCGTTTGCAAATGAATTCACATCCCGGGTTCCAGGCAGACGTGCTTTGTGGGAGCGGAGTCAACCCAGGATGGATGGTCCGGAAGGATATCTAGCGACGCAGAGAAACGCTAACATCACTGATAAAGGAGCAGCAGGTCTGCGTGACGCCTTTGAATACACACACGCGTGGAGACTGCAGGAAGGATGGAGTGTGTTCACTAAACCCTCCCAGGGGGCCGGGCAGGCAAAGGCTTCCACGATATAATCGTTGGAATGAGTTTCTGTGTTTCCTGGATGTCTAGCAATGCCTATGTGCTTCTTAGATAAGGAGGAAAAATAACGAACCCGTGTAATCTAGGTTTTCGAGCTATAGTATGAGAATGAACTGATATTCTTGACTGCCGCAGCTTTTGTTGTCCAGTCAGCTAAAAAATATTTTAGAGTTTGCAAAGTTCAAAATGCGTTTTTAAATGTGTCATTTAAAACAAAGAAAGTTCCTTCCCTATGACATTAGGCATGTTTTGGTTTTTCCAAACGTTAGGTGATTTGAGACGTGTGGGCGTGAGATGCTCCTGTGATGTGTCATGTCCCTCGTGTTGGTGAGGTTTCTGGGTCTGTGAGGGCTTCGGCGCTCGGCCCAGGAGGGAGGTGGGACCTGAGAGCTTCCGGTGCCTATCCCGAGCCCCGGGGGAGGCGTTTGGAATAAGTGGTGTTGTGTTGTTTCCTAGACAAGGAATCGTCCCTCCGGGCCTGACTGAAAATGAGCTGTGGAGAGCAAAGTACATCTATGACTCGGCGTTTCACCCCGACACCGGAGAGAAGATGGTCCTGATCGGACGGATGTCAGCGCAGGTCCCCATGAACATGACCATCACAGGCTGCATGATGACATTCTACAGGTGAGTCGTGGCCGGGGACAGCGCTCCTTCCTATGGCGGCACTGCACGTGGGCTGGCGCTGTGTCCGTGACGTTATTAAATAAACCACTTCCTGTCCGTTCCGCACAGACGCAGCCCAGGGCTCCGCGGTGCCTTCCCCTCTGCTCAGTAGTGTTCTCTCTGCTGCTCAGAGGAGCTGCGCTTCCCCCGAAGCTCAGACCCGCAGGACAATGAGGTGGAGGGAGAAAGGGAAAGAGAGTCTATGCAGATTCTCTCTCCTCCATTCCTACGTCAGTGCAGGTGCAGGTGGAGGTGGAGGTGGAGGTGCAGGTGGGAGGGGTCAGGACCACACACGGAAGGGCCGACAGTGGCAGAGCGCCCGCTCTATGCCAGGCTGTCCACACATGTAAGCCAAAGTGTGAGTCATCGCTGTCTTTGCCACGATCCCCTGACCTCAGTGTCACCGTCTCCAACGACCGAGGAAACTGCGAGGAGGGTCTGTAACGCCTTCCCAGCCGCCAGGTCCTGGCTCAGTGTCCTCCTGTCACTGGGGTTCGAGGCTGCAGGTGGGGGCGGCGGCGGTGGGGGCGTGACGCTCGCTCTGTTCCAGGACCACACCGGCGGTGGTGTTCTGGCAGTGGATCAACCAGTCCTTCAACGCCGTGGTCAACTACACCAACAGGAGCGGAGACGCCCCCCTCACGGTCAAGTAAGGCCCAGTGCCCCGCTGCCCTCCCCGTGTTCCCCTGGCGGGCGGGGACGCTCTCCGATGAAGTGCCTTACGGGATGCCTTCTCATCGGTGGCCCGATCCTCAGACACCACTCGAGCCATCGGCGGTGCCGTAGGAAGATAGGGCTCCCCACCCTCAGCTCTCCTCCCCCAGAACACACGGCAGCTCGGGCTGGCCTGGCGTGAACCTCGCACCGCACCCGTCTGCCCCGTGCGTGGGGACAGACCGCCGGCGCCCGCTGTGTGACCGGCCTCTGCAGGGGCCCGGGGGCTCATACACCTGCTGGGTCATCGGTGGAGCAGAGAGGGAATGAATGGGCTCAGTTGTGCCTCCCTGCGGAACGTTCTGGACGGGCCAGAGGGACGGCCCAGCGGAGCTTGCAGCACGGCCTGTCCCACAGGCCAGTGTGTTATTTTTCGCTCTAACTGCCTGGACAGTCTGGGTTCTGCTGTCGTCATGGGTAACCAGCCACGACGTCACAGCAACTCGCATCCAACACGTGAGCTAAAACGTATCTCTGAACAGGATACAATTGCTCGAGCTTAACTGTATTCCAGAGATGAGACTTTGTGACTTTTATGCCCCGAGGCACCGTTTTAGGAAGAACAGCATGGCACGTTCCCTTTCAGTGTGCGTGTTGATATTGGGAAAAGTCTTTTTGTTTTAGTTTAGTGGATGCGCCACAGACACGTAGGCCACTGCCTGTCCCCACACGTGCCATGTCCTGCCCACTCCCGGGCCCCTTCCTTCCGCCCCTTCCCCATCCAGGCCTGGTCCGGGGTTGTGTCAGGTCCCATACACGCGGAATCCCCTGTGTTTGGGTCTGCTGGCCCTTTCTCCGGCTCCCTGCCCTGCGGGTGGGCACGGACACGCTTTACGGGCTCTCCACGCTGACCATGCCTGCTCACGTTCCCCACCCTTCCCTTCAGCAAAGGTCACCGTTCCGTGCGCTGTTCTCTCTCCTCAGCGAGCTGGGCACGGCGTACGTGTCGGCGACCACAGGCGCTGTGGCGACCGCCCTGGGACTCAACTCACTGGCCAAGGTGCGCGGGTCCTCCTGCTTCCACGGGAAAGCTTCGTGATTGCCTCTTACCTGCCCGGCTCCCGGCACTCCACTGTCTCAGAATAGCTCAAGTCCTTTCACTTTCTCATTATGGTCATTCCCTTCGACTGCATGTCTTCTGTGTGTGTGTGTGTGTGTGTGTGTGTGTGTTTTAAAGATATCTATATTGATTCCAGAGAGGAAGGGAGAAGGAGAGAGAGAGGGGGAATCATTACCCAGCTGTCTCCTGCACACTCCTTATAGGGGATCAAGCCCGCAACCCGGGCATGTGTCCTTGACCAGAATCGAACCCGGGACCCCTCAGTCCGCAGGCCGAACGCTCTATCCACTGAGCCACGCCAACGTGGCTGTGACTGCGTGTTTTAGTCACCGTTTCCTAGGGAAGGGCTGTCACCCGCAGCCAGAACCTTGGTCAGGGCCTGGCACAGTGCTGAGCTAACGTGCTCACCCACCAGCGGCTGTGCAAGAGGGGGCGGGCCAGCACCTGACCCCAGAGTCTGGGACTCAGCGCCCTCCACAGTAAGCTGCCCAAACGTCCCAGAAGCCTCACACGCCCAGCCAGAGACATCCAAAAGCCGCTAGTGATCAGGCGGGAACGCACTGCCGGCCTGAGTCTCTGCACAGGACCCTGCGTCTCCAGTAGTTGTCAGGAAGCAAGGGCATTGGCGCCCGGGCGTCCGTGAGAAGTGAGCTCTGCTCTCGCTCGCTCCCCCGCAGCACGTGTCCCCGCTCGTCGGACGCTTCGTGCCCTTCGCCGCCGTAGCCGCTGCGAACTGCATCAACATCCCGCTGATGCGGCAGAGGTCAGTCCGCGGTTTCTGGGAACGGGCTGTGCAGCAGCGAGACTCTCCTAAGAACTCACGCCGCTGACACTTCTAAAAACTATTTTAACGTTTGCAGATAAAAGCGTATGAGATTGGGGATTTGCGTCCAAGCAGTGATGAGTTGGCAGTGAGGATGGTCCGCTAATGAGCAGGCTTAGCCGACGAGCTGTATTTACTGGGATGGGCTCAGGGCAGGAGGTTAGGATAATCTCCCAACTTCTGTATCACAAAGCGTCTCACAGCGTATCTCCAAGGAGGTCTGCACACAGGAAGTTTGTTCCCAAACAGGTCCTTGGCCCGTGGGATTTTCTTTTGGAGTTTAAAATAATCTTTATCTTTGGGAGTTTTTTGTTTTTTTTGTTTGTTTTGTTTTTTAACAATTTAGAGAAGACAGAGGAAGAAAAAACACTTTGGAACGGATAATGAGGAACAGGTAGCTATAAAGGTAGCTTTTGGAACTATCCCCTTGCTACTAATGACAAATACCCCTTGGCGCCATCTGCTGGTAACTCCTGGGTCCTCCTCGGGTCCCTCAGCGAGGCCTGAGTCAGGTCTACCTCTCATTTGAAAAGCCACTCAGATTTGCACATCAGCATAAAAATCACCCTTACTCTTAAGTAGCATAGTCACGCTGAGGCGTATTTCCACTAGAATTGCTACTCCTTTGTTTATTACAAAGTGACTGTTATTTTACTTTTGTGCCTCCTGCTTGAGGATTACACTTGTTCATAGGATGTTAAGAGACTCGTTTGTGCCCAGATGACTCCTGGGTGGGTGGTAGGATGAGGTGGGGACGTGACCTCTCAGCGGTGTCCTGAAGACACTGAATACCTGGCATGCGTTTTGCTCTGCAGGGAACTCAAACTGGGCATCCCCGTCACAGACGAGAACGGGACCCGCTTGGGTGAGTCGGCACAGGCTGCGCAGCAAGCCATCGCACAAGTGGTCGTCTCCCGGATTCTCATGGCCGTGCCTGGCATGGGTCAGTATGACTGTCACCCACCCATCCACCCACCCATCCAGCCAGCCATTCACCCATCCATCCATCACTTACCCATCCATCTACTCATCCACCCATCCATTCACTCATCCATTCACCCACCCGTCCACCCACCCACCCACCCACCCACCCATCCACCCACCCACCCATCCATCCTTCATCCACCCACCCACCCCACACACACAGACTGAATTAGTGTCAGTGCATCAGTGAACCAAACCCATCACTCCCTGGGTCGCTCCTCCACAGGTGAGAACACCAGCAGCTGCGGCTCAGGTGGGGTGACTCCCAGGGTCACCCACAGGGCGTGTGCCTGGCTCGAGCGGAGTGTTTATCTTCTGCTCCATGCGGCTGCCCACCCCCACCGCGGTGCCTTCGTTTTATTGGCACAGGAGGCAGACATTCCTGGTGTTGGCGCTGTTCATATTTAAAGTTAAACGTCAAGTTCTCCTCAAGCTTATAGCGCTTTCGGCTGGACGAGAGCGTTCCATTATGGAACCAGCGGGTCGTTCCCCCCAGCCCTAAAGGATCTTATAGAATTCCTGCAGACAGCTTCACCCTGAGAGTGAGAAAGGCTTACGGGCGACACACGCCTCTGGCCACATTGCTGGGGGCAGTGGGAGCTGAAAACACGAGAACTAACGCGTTATGCGGTCTCCCTCTCCTTGCAGTCATCCCCCCGTTCATCATGAACACGCTGGAGAGGAAGGCCCTCCTGAAGGTGAGCGCCCCGCCGCGGCCCCCGCCCCGCCCCGCCGCGGCCCCCCTCCCCTCCGCCGGGGCCCCCCTCCCTCCGCCGCGGCCCCCCCCCCCCCGCTCCGCCGCGGCCCCCCCCCACCCTCCGCCGCGGCACCCCTCCCCTCCGCCGGGGTCCCCCCTCCCCTCCGCCGGGGCCCCCCTCCCCTCCGCCGCGGGCCCCCCTCCGCCGCGGCCCCCCTCCCTCCGCCGCGGCCCCCCCCTCCCCTCCGCCGCGGCCCCCCCCCCTCCGCCGCGGCCCCCCCCCCTCCGCCGCGGCCCCCCTCCCTCCGCCGCGGCCCCCCCCCCCCCGCTCCGCCGCGGCCCCCCCCTCCCCTCCGCCGCGGCCCCCCTCCCTCCGCCGCGGCCCCCCTCCCCTCCGCCGCGGTCCCCCCTCCGCCGCGGCCCCCCCTCCGCCGCGGCCCCCCCACCCCCTCCGCCGCGGCCCCCCTCCCCTCCGCCGCGGCCCCCCTCCCCTCCGCCGCGGCCCCCCCCCCCTCCGCCGCGGCCCCCCCCCCCTCCGCCGCGGTCCCCCCTCCCTCCGCCGCGGCCCCCCCCCCCCCGCTCCGCCGCGGCCCCCCCCCCTCCCCTCCGCCCGGCCCCCCTCCCTCCGCCGCGGCCCCCCCTCCCCTCCGCCGCGGCCCCCCTCCTCCGCCGCGGCCCCCCTCCCCCGCCGCGGCCCCCGCCTCGCCCCCCCCTCCGCGCGGCCCCCCCCCCCTCCGCCGCGGCCCCCCCTCCCCTCCGCCGCGGCCCCCCCCCTCCCTCCGCCGCGGCCCCCCCCTCCCTCCGCCGCGGCCCCCCCTCCCCTCCGCCGCGGCCCCCCCTCCCCTCCGCCGCGTCCCCCCTCCTCCGCGCCCCCCTTCCGCCGGGCTCCCCCTCCGCCGAGGTCCCCCTCCCCTCCGCCGCGGCCCCCCCTCCCTCCGCCGCGGCCCCCCTCCCCTCCGCCGCGGCCCCCCTCCCCTCCGCCGAGGCCTCCCCTCCGCCGCGGTCCCCGCTCCGCCGCGGTCCCCGCTCCGCCGAGGTCCCAGTCCTTCCATCCCACCCAGCCCTCACGCACAGACCGCTCCCACCGAAACCCGGAGCCAAGAACCTGAAGGCCCGTGGCACTCGGGCACGTAAATGAAAAGATGGTTCCAGAACATTCCATTTCTAGTCTCAGATGTTTGAAGTAGCTCCCACGGATGGAAGCTGCTGCCCTCGTCTCAGTCAGCAATGGGAGGGGTTTGGAGGCAGCCTCACGGAACAGTGACTCGCCCCAGTTACTTTCCTGGGAGAGAATAATCCATTCATCTGGCACCCCCAGGTGGTCCCCGTGTGAGGAAAGGGTCCCCCATCAGCACCCGCTCCTGCTCTTTCTTTCTCGGAGCTGTGGGTGGCGTTACGCAGGTCTCCTTGCACTTGTGGTCCCAGTCCCACCCATCTGCCCATCTGCCCACCCCCTGGTGGGTGGGTGGGTGGATGGATGAATGGGAAAACAGATGTTTCCCTCTCAGTCTTACACGTTGACATGAAGCGTGCGACGGAGTGTCATGGTGGCTCTCCAGTTCCCTGCCGTCCTTGCGGGTGGGGCTCTGGGTCTGTCCCCTCCTGACGGCCTCTCTCCCTCTCCAGCCCCTCCTCCCTCCCTCACGGCCACCTGTGCGAGGGCCTCTCCCCGAAGGCGTCCTCGGGGACCACGGTACGCCTCGCACAAGCTCGGGGTCACGACCTCTAACCACGTTGGCTGATGTCATGACAGCCAGTCTGCAGCTCGGTCGCGGCTCTCTCTTGGCCTCGGTCATGGGACCATCTACTCATCACCCTTGCATGCGTTTTGATGCCACTTTTGAAAACTAAAAATCTAACAGCACGTTCTCTCCAGAAGACTGACCAACTCACTCATTTCCACTTAAACAAGCGACAGGCAAAGTGTCTGCTGCCAGCCATCGCTTTAACCACACTGACAGCCGCGAGGGCCGAGAGGGGGATGAGGGGAAGGGGGGGGTGCTTGTGGGGCTGGGGGTTTGTACGTGACCACGTGCCTGAGGAAGGGACACGGACGCTGACACTGGAGGGTGGGGCTCTGCTGCTCCCTGCAGGTGCAGCCGCGGTGAGGGCAGCCCCGTGGGGCGCGCTGCCCGCCCCCGGCCAGCAGGAGCGTGGTCACACACAACGGCACCTTTCAGATCACGTGCAAGGGGTGAAGGAGCGAAGCCGTGGTCTCCGCACACGCGTTTGCTGACAGGCGGGGGCACGGGACGTCAGGACTAGCACGCGTGCTGCAGTGTTCCCCCGGTTCCCCCAATCTCAGCCCGCCTGGGCCTGTAACAGTGGGGTTCCCCCCAGCCCGTCGGCAGAAGAGCCTGTGTGACAAGTCCCCCAAACCGCTTCTTTCTCGTCACAGCGGTTCCCGTGGATGAGCGCGCCCATCCAGGTCGGGCTGGTTGGCGTCTGGTGAGTAGAATTCCTTCGAGATCATTTCTCGTTAAAGGTCTGTGTGCGGCATAGGGAGAGGGAGGGGCGGGAGGCCACGTGGGACCCGGTTTAGGAAATGAGGACTCCCAGCACCCCTGGGAGAGGTCCCGACAGTGAGCTGGACGTGAACTGTCTTTAGGGGGAACTTACAACATATGGGACTATCTGCATGATTCTTTGTAAACTCCTGCTACCTCTGGTTTCTTTTAAATTACAGTCTTTGGTGTAATAAAACGACACAAACAGAACATGGTTTTTGAGGCTCCAAAGAGAGAAAGGGGATTGTTGGGAAAGTAAACTAGGAATAACCTGGGAAGTCGACTGTTTCCAAGTGCTCTGATTTGCCTTTTCTTTTTTCTTTTTCTTTTTTCAGTTTGGTGTTTGCCACGCCTCTGTGCTGTGCCCTCTTTCCTCAGAAAAGGTAAGTGTTTGTTCTTTGGGACGGTCATGAGTCTTCATCCGACAAACCAGACCCACCCTGGGTTACAAGTGGCACCTCACGTCGCAGGGGCTGTTGTTCCATTTCACTGGTAGGAACATTGAGGCTCAAGCAGACGAAGGAAGCCAAGGTCTCTAAAAGGAACAGCTGGAGGCAGAAAGCAAACGCACATCTGCTTAATTTCGAAACTCGCTCTGCCTGCTCCCGCTCCCCCTGAAAACGCTCCTTCTTCTGTGAGAGGTTAACTCTGGTGCAGATTTGCTTTTATGAAAATGTCCATGTGGCTTGTGCCATCCCGGCTGTGGGCACGTGTGTCTGTAATGCAGACACCTGGGCGTTCCAGGGGCACTCACTCCCCTTCTCCCCGGAACAGCAAGGACCCGCCCTTAGCTCCTGTCGGCATGTCTGCTTCCCTGCTTCCTGCTCGTGTTCTGCCTCGAAAGCCTTCCCGTGTGCTTCTGCCCAGGCCGTGGGTGTGAGCGCTGGCCTGACGGGCAGCTCAGCTGCCTCTAGACTTAGGTCTCCCGTGGCCTCCTGACCTCTCGCCGGGGCCCGGGGCCGCGGGTCTGCCGTGTGGATGGGTGTGAGGCTGTGCCTGCGGGCCAGGTCCCGGCTCGGGGTCTGCACGCTCTAGGCTCAAGGAGAGGCTCTGGGTGGGATGCGGGGTTCCAGGCGACCTTTCTCAGGTGCCTGCACCGGACAGAGCGCGCCACCATTCGCCCGCCCATCCTCCCTGTCCGTGACCTGCCATGCTTCAGCCGAGAAGCCACCCCGTTCACCCCTCAGTGTGGAAGCCAAGGCCCCCCCCTCGGCCCCTGTAACTCTGTCCTCCCTCCTCCCCCAGCTCCATGTCCGTGAGGAGCCTGGAGGCCGAGCTGCAGGCCCAGCTGCAGGAGAGCCACCCCGCGCTGCGCCGCGTGTACTTCAACAAGGGGCTGTGACGCGGGAGGCGCCCGCACAGCCCGCCCACCCCGTGCGCCGGCCGGGGGCCCCGCCTGGTTCCTCCTGGCACGGCAGGTCTTCGACCTCCCTGGCTTCCGGAAGGATCCGGACACGATGTGTGTGTGAATCTCGGCTAAATGATTTTACCTGGAGGCTGTGTACTGCGCCCGCCCTGTCTGAGGATGAGGCGCCGAGGACCCCTGTTCACACCCCTGTAGCAGGTTCACATGTAGCACAGTCCATGCAGCGGAGACCGTGTTCCCAGGTGAAGGCAAGGCCGTGTGCCCTGCGTGTCCTGCCTGATTCCACCGGAACGCGGACGGGCCGGCGGGAAAGACGTGGGACCGGTGCCGGCAGATCTGTCCGTGGGACGGGCGTGTGACGGCCGAACCCCCATAGGAACAGGTGTGCCTCGCGGGTGTCCCCCTCTTCTCCGAGGCCTGGGTGGGCCTCTCTGAGCCTTCCTTTCCGCCTCCAAAGTGTTCTCCATGTGTCCGTCTTAAACCCTTTGAAGCAGAAGATTCCCACAACACAGCCGGCCTGCGTGTGTTCGTTGCCATGGACGCCGCTCCTGAAAGAGCGGTAAAGCCTGAGCTCCGGGCGGGCTCCCCGAGGTGCTTCCGGTGCTCTCACCGTGCCCAGCCGGCGGCCACAGAATGCCCACCGAGCCCAGCACCTCCCCTCTGCTGAGGAGCAGCGGCGGCCGACGGCGGAGGAACTAGTTCAGGCGCAGTCAGGAGCAGGAGAGCGAACGTGGGCTGTGTCTGCCTAGCTTTACCCGGGGCTCCAGCCCCTCCGCTTTCTCCTCGGTGTAACCAGGTTTGTGAAAAGGAGCACACGGGCAGGAGGCCCCTCGCCTCCCCCAGAGGCCCGTCCCCTGAGGCGCAGCAGCCGGGGAAGGTGCTGGCCGCAGCGGCCGCAGGCGGGAGCGGCCGTGCCGGCATTGGCTGTCAGTGTTGGCTGTCAGTGTTGGCTGTCAGTGTTGGCGCGGCGTCTTGCTGGTGTTGGTATCAATGTACTGTTTCCGTCCGGCTGGATGAAATGTTAAATAAACCCGGGATGAAAGCAAATCCTCTCTTATTTGTCCGTAAAGGATAATCGGTTTTCTGTTACTGTCGATGGCACCTCCTGTTCAGACTTCCTGCCTGGGTGCCATCCGTGTCCTCACGGAGAGAGGTTTCTGTTTTCTGCCGTTAGAAAGAAGTGTATTTCTAGGTGTGGCCTCCAGCCTCCACCTTGCTGCCCCCACACATCACACATGACCAGGCGTGTGACAGTGGAGTGGGGCGGGGTTCTGCTTACAGAACTGGCACCAGGGCACATGGCCAGGAAACCTGCTTCTGGGCCGGATGTCAGAGTCCGATGGCAGCCAGCGTTTGCCGTGTTCCCAGAGAAAATTCGAGGAACCCAAGGCCGGGGCCTTGGCCACAGACTAAGGAGCCAGGAGGACCCATTTCCACCCACCCCCTCACGTCTCAGCGTGGCTTACGACCCTAACTGTTCATCACGTCGGTTATTTAAAACACCCAAGAGCTTGGGTCCGGGGTCGGAGCTGCCACGGCCCAGGTCACTCACTCAGGCTGCTGACCTTCTCTGTGACCTTTGGTTCTGTTTGTTTGGAGAAAATCATGCATCTGCCTCCTGGGGTCGTGAAGATGAAATGAGAGGGTCCCTGGGCAGCGTGTGCATAGTGCCCAGCGGACGGCAAACGTTGAATACATGGTACCCATCAGACATTCACTCGTTCTGGCCCAGTGGTCGGCAAACTCATTAGTCAACAGAGCCAAATACCAACACAACCAATTGACATTTCTTTTGAGAGCCAAAAACTAACTTCTGCGCATGGGCCACGAATAAGCTGACCAGACGTCCCGCTTTGGCGGGACAGCCCCGCTTTGTAACAAATTGTCCCGCGGTGTTTTAAGGGACTTTTTAAAAACACTGCGGGACAATTTGTTACAAATCGGGACTGTCCCGCCAAAAGCGGGATGTCTGGTCACTTTAGCCACAAAATTTCAATCGCACTGGACGTGCACGCCTGCACGTGGTATTTTGTGGAAGAGCCGCATGTGGCTCGCGAGCTGCAGTTTGCCGACCACGGGTTTAGAAACACAGTCAGCCTCAGGGTGAGCTTTCAGACCCTGGCAGCCTCCCAGAGCTTACCCACAGCCTCCTGAACGTCAGGTCAAAACGGATCAACAGAGATGCTCGCCTCCATCTCTCTAAACGGCCTGATGATGGAGGTGCTGCCTAACGAGACGGCTGCCAGGGACGCACTCAGGACACGAGGCTGGGCTGCGGGGGCCGCTCGGGCCCCACCAGGCCCCAGGCCCCGGGGACCAGCGCGGAGCCAAGACCGCACTCCCAGCCCGAGATGGTGACAGCCCCGTCCCGAAGTATCACCCGGAACCCGGAACCCGCCGACGGAAGGGTTTCCCTGGTGCTCTCAGGATTTCAGCGAGAGCAGAGAAAAACGGGCCTGCATCTGGCGGTGCCGATGGACACGGCAGCGGTTTTCCACCTTTTCCATCTCTTGGCGCGCACACACACTAGTTTTCACAATCCTGTGGCGTGCCAGCAAAGTTACACATTTCTGGCAATCTGAGAAAAACAGGTATAATTGATTCATTCGCACTGGATGGCTGTTGTGTTGGCTGTTGTCATTTTTAAAAAATACATATTTTATTGATTTTTTGCAGAGAGGAAGGGAGAGGGATAGAGAGATAGAAACATCAATGAGAGAGAAACATCGATCAGCTGCCTCTTGCACACCTCCCACTGGGGATGTGCCCGCAACTAAGGTACATGCCCATGACTGGAATCGAACCTGGGACCCTTCAGTCCACAGGCCGACGCTCTGTCCACTGAGCCAAACTGGTTTTGGCTGTTGTCATTTAAAAAAAATTTTTTTTTGGCACTAAAGAAGAGAGGCAGTGCCCAGCTACAGCCGGGTGTTACTGCACACTGGCCGAAACCGCTGATATAAATGTCATTCAGACCCTGATACGCAGTGTGGGCCTTGGCCAGCCGCCTCCGAGCTTGTGAAAAGGGTACGTCCTTGGGCCCCACTCCCAGGCCTGAGCCAGAATGTTCTGGCTACACAGCCCGTCGTCCCTGGGGTTCCCAAGATCTGAATTCATCTACCCCTCCCTGACCAGCTTCCAAGAAAGTGTGGGTCCAACACTGACACCCTCAGGCCCGCAGCACCCACCAGCGGCGAGGGCACAGGCTTCCGTTCGGCCCTGCCGTGCCCCCAGCACAGAGCAGCTGGCAGCAGCCGGTTCCTGTGGTCACGGGTTCGACCTGGGGCTCTTTTTTGGAATCGGAACAAGTGTCCCCAGTTTCCAGGGTCCCAGCGCTGGCCACAGTCCGTTGTGTGCCACGGGCGGGTCACACCAGGGTGTGGAATGGCCACGGAATCGGGGACTCCTCTGGGAACGGAGCTGGGAGGGAGCATGGGCCCTGGCAGTCCCGGGCGGCGGGGTGAGCAGCCGGCATCCCCTCGCCCCGGAGCCAGCCCTTGTCCCGAGGACCCGCTGCCACGAGGCGGCCGGGGCAAGGTCCACGGCATCCCCTTTCGGAGAGAGGGCACTGAGCTCAGGTGGGTGGCTGACTCGAGTGCACCCCGTCCAGCCCCGGGCTCCCCACGGACTCCCAGCCTCCCCAGCAGGAGCCACTGCAGCCAGCTGTGGTGGGTCACTCATGACAGAGTGGTGTGTGGCTGCCGCTTCTGCATGCGCTGTCCCCCGTAACGCCCCGCAGGGCCCCTATGGGGGTCAGCCCCATTGACAAGGCCGGGACAGGTGGTAAAGCAGTAAAATCACTCGCCAGAAACCTAACCAGGACAGTCAGCGGACTATGAGAGGTCGAGTCTGTCACGCGCACACACACTGGGGAAAGGTTAGTAATCACACAGAGTTCAAAGTCAAAGTTAGGCCAGCGAGGCCTGGGAGGGTCCCTGGTAGAGAGAGCTAGGAGCCATGGCTTCCAACGCGTGGTCCCCAGAGACCAGCAGCGACAGCACCCCGGGAACTAGGGGTGCAGGGCCTCGGGCCCCCCAACACCAGCTGGGTCAGAACTCAGGGCACGAGTTTGTGCATTGGGCCTCTATATATATATATTCCCCTTGGGTGAGGATTTAAAAAAAAGAATTACACAGATGAACACACCCAGGTTCACAGAAGACCTGGCTACTGCCATGGGAGCCGCACGGGGAAGGTGGAAGAAGGGGAGGTTGGGGTTGAGGGGAGGTTGGAGTTGAGGGGAGGTTGGGGGGTTGGGGGGAGGTTGGGGTTGAGGGGAGGTTGGGGGGTTGGGGGGTTGAGGGGAGGTTGGGGTTGAGGGGAGGTTGGGGGTTGAGGGGAGGTTGGGGTTGGGGGGAGGTTGGGGGGTTGAGGGGAGGTTGGGGGGTTGGGGGTTGGGGGGTTGAGGGAGGTTGGGGTTGAGGGGAGGTTGGGGTTGAGGGGAGGTTGGGGTTGAGGGGAGGTTGGGGGTTGAGGGAGGTTGGGGGGTTGGGGGGAGGTTGGGGGTTGAGGGGAGGTTGGGGTTGAGGGGAGGTTGGGGGTTGGGGGGAGGTTGGGGGTTGAGGGGAGGTTGGGGGTGGGGGGGGGTTGGGGGTTGGGGGAGGTTGGGGGGTTGGTGGAGGTTGGGGTTGTGGGGAGGTTGGGTGTTGAGGGGAGGTTGGGGTTTGAGGGGAGGTTGGGGGGAGGTTGGGGTTGGGGGGAGGTTGGGGTGGTTGGGGAGGTTGGGGGGTTGGGGGAGGTTGGGGTTGGGGGGAGGTTGGGGGAGGTGGGGGAGGGGGGTTGAGGGGAGGTTGTGGTGTTGGGGGGAGGTTGGGTTTGGGGGGAGGTTGGGGGTTGAGGGGGATGGGGGGTTGGCGGGGAGGTTGTGGGTTGAGGGGAGGTGTGGTTGTTGGGGGCCGAGATTGGGGGGTTGCGTGGAGCGGTTGGGGGTTGAGGGGACGGTTGGGGGTTGGGGGAACGGTGTGGTGGTTGAGGGGAGGGTTGGGGGGTTCTGAGGGGAGGTTGGGGGTTGAGGGAAGTTTGGGGGTTGATGGGAGGTTGGGGGTTGAGGGGAGGTTGGGGGTGGTGGGGGAGGTTGGGGGGTTGAGGGGGAGGTTGGGTGGTTGGGGGGAGGTTTGGGGTTGGGGGGGGGAGGTTGGGGGTTGGGGGCGGTTGGGGTTGAGGGGGGTTGGGGGTTGGGGGGGAGGTTGGGTGTTGAGGGGAGGTGGGGCGTTGAGGGCGAGGTTGGGGGGTTGGGGGGAGGTTGGGGGTTGGAGGGGGGGTTGGGGTTGGGGGGAGGTTGGGGGGTTGAGGGGAGGTTGGGGGTTGGGGGGAGGTTGGGGTTGAGGGGAGGTGGGGGTTGAGGGGAGGTTGGGGTTGAGGGGAGGTTGGGGGGTTGAGGGGAGGTTGGGGGGTTGAGGGGAGGTTGGGGGGTTGAGGGGAGGTTGGGGGTTGGGGGTTGAGGGGAGGTTGGTTGGTGGGTTGATGGGGTTGGGTTGAGGGGAGGTTGGGGGTTGAGGGGAGGTTTGGGGTTGAGGGGAGGTTGGGGGGTTGGGGGGAGGTGTGGGGTTGAGGGGAGGTTGGGGGTTTGGGGGAGGTTGGGGGTTAGAGGAGGTTGGGGTTGGGGGGAAGGTTTGGGGGTGGGGGGAAGGTTGGGGGTTGGGAGGTGTGGGGGTATGGGGTGGGTTGGGGAAGGGGAGGGTGAGGTTGGGGTTGGAGGTGGAGGGGAGGTTGGGGGTTTGAGGGGATGGGTTGGGGTTGGGGGGAGGTTGGGGTTGAGGGGAGATTGGGGTTGAGGGGAGGTTGGGGGTTGGGGGGAGGTTGGGGGTTGGGGGGTTGAGGGGAGGTTGGGGTTGAGGGGAAGTTGGGGTTGAGGGGGAGGCTGGAGGGTGACCCCAGGGCACCCAAGGGTGAAGTCACCCTTCCAGTGTAGAAGGTGGGCGGTAGCTGCCGGTTTTCACGGGTATAAACTAAATGGAGGAGGGAGAGCTCTGGATGGCGAGATCATATGTAATTTTTAAATTTCCTCCTTTCTGCTTTTCTGACTTTTCACATTTCCTTCTGCTTCT